GCCTTCAAACCACTCCAGGTCTTTTTTTTTCAGAGAATGAGGTCTGGTTTGGATCCATGACCCCCAAAATGTTAGTACGTGTAACTTATTTGTAGATTCCCTTGATGGGGATTTCCTTTCTCTTGGCTTAAAAGTAATTCATTAAGAAAAACCTATGGGTTTCTGTTTTAGGGGCATTTAAATGTGTTACTCCATTATTTTATTTAAACAGATAGATCTTGGTGAAGAAGGGGCTAAATGAGTAGAATAATGACTTCTACTTATAAAAACCTCTACTTAGAAAAATATATATAGATTTTTTTAAAAAACTAGCCATATAGGTCCATACATTTGTTTTGCATTTCTACATAGATATAAAAAGTTTTATAAACTCAGAAAATATTGGCCTTTTTAAAATGCTAAATTGGTCAGGTCCTCCTTGAAAGGCTCTCCCTGTGTAAGTTATAACCTGGCCCTAAGCTACCTTCCCAGTTTATCCCCTGTGTCTCCCCAGTCATACCCTGCAATCTGGAGACACCGGGCTGGGCGAGCTTCCTAGATCCACCATGTTTCACACTTGTCCTCGCCCCACTCACGTGTCTGCGCTGCCTGCTTTGTCTAGATGGCCAGCAAGGGGAGGTGCTGTTCTGGCTGCTCTTCTCACAGGACTTACTCCGTTGGCCTCCGAGACTCAGTGGCTTCTTATCTGGTGGTCTGAATGCTGTCGCTGCTGTGGTCTGTGGGTGTTTATCTCGCGGTGCTGCGGCTGCCTGTGTTCTCCTTGGACCTCTTCTTATCAACTGTGAGCACCCGAAGGATGGATTGGATTCATCAGCAGCAGCAACTCAACCACTCTGCCAGTTTATTTCCTTCAACTGTGAGCACCCGAAGGATGGATTGGATTCATCATCAGTTGCCCCTCAGCAGCAACTCAACCACTCTGCCAGTTTATTTCCCCGAAGATTGCTTGATCATTTGCTGTTTTCTTTAGAAAATAGAACCAGACTTCAAATGTAGAGTGGAGATGAATTATTTGTCCACAACTCTCCAACCGTAGCCTGTCTTAGTGATTATTTTTGCCTTTTCAGTATTTTTCCTCTGCGTTTTGCTTAGTTGTAAGCATAGTATATATCTTTGCTGCTGTCTGATCTTCAAAGTCCTCATCTTTAATGATTCTTTAACATTTCACCGAGTGGATATAGCATAATGTACTTTCCCTTTGAACATTTTGGTTTCTGTCTCTAAGTTTTAATATATACGGCTCCCATAATGATAGATTGGATATATTTACAAGCCAAGAATGCCAGAATCAAAAATCACGTGAGCAGGGCGCACAGTGAGCAGGCTGCACAGGACATGCCCTGTAGTCAGGCTCGCAGTCCGATCATCAGGACAGGGTGCAGGGCCTGTGGCCACAGACAGGAGCGCTGGCTGTGTTTACGCATGTTCTTTCCTTCCAAGTTTTGACCCAGCACGCCTGAGGAGAGAAGCAGGGTGGGCAGAGGAAGGATCCGAGCATTGGGATTCTGAAAGCCTTGTTACCAGCTGAGCTGTGTCCCCTGGGTAGCATTGGACCTTAACTGCTCTGAACACTTCATCTGTACAGAGGATGTCTGTGGCATGTGATTCTTATAAAAATCCAAAGATATCCAACAAGGGGAACAAATAGATTTGTGGGATTTTTGCTGTGGGATTGGCACTGAAATTTTCTTGTGCTGTTTCATCAAATCCTTAGAGCAACCCTATAAGAGGAGCTGAAAGAGACTAACTTGCTCCAAGTCACACTGCTAAGTGCTGAGATCCAAACCCAGTTTGGAGTTCAGACCTCCCAAGTCCTTTGTCCTGAGGCTTCCTAGAGAGACATTTTCCCCCCAGATACCTCTGTGCTCTGAAATCATGCACAAGGGCCAACCCCAAGGTCTCTGTACCGAGGCAAGTTCAGGGAAGAAAAGCACTTAGAAAAAGAGGGACATATTGAGCTGTTTAGAATATTTTTTATTATTGACCAATATTTCGTAAAACTCATTAAATCTCTGATAAAGAAATAGTGAATACAGTTGTTAAAACCTGAATTCAAGATGTGACATTGGCATGAGACAGGCCAAAATAGGTGGTTCTATAAATGGAGAGTTGACTAAGACCCTCTGAGAGGATGCATGGATGGGGTGGGTATCAATAAAAGTAGACTTTGTAAGGAATTGGGTGTGTTCTATCCCAGGGCTGTGACATTCCTAAGGAGATGTGAATGTTACAGAGCTCAAAGGAAAGAGGGAGAGGCCAGTGGTTCTTCTTGAAACATGAGGATGAACCAGAATGAGGGGTAACCCTGGACTGAGGGACTTGCTGGGAGATGTTTGCAGCCTTTTAGACAAATAAGAAAGGAAGCTATCTTATTACAGATGTAGAATTAACCAGATTTATTTATTTATTGGCATTCTCTTTCTAAAATATATGTCAGAATGTGTGAGTATTGTGTAGGGTTAGGGGCCTTTGTTTTGGAATTGGTCTTTCTGGGTTTGAAGCCCCAGCCCATGTGATCTCGGATAAAGTTACTTAAGTTACCTAAGCTTCATTTTATTTATCTATAAAATGGGGAGAATGATAGTAGCATTCATAGCATTGATTGGTTGGGAGGTATCCTATATAATAAAAGGCTAATATGCAAATTGTCCCCTTGGGAGTTCGACCGACCGGGAGTTCGACTGCTCGCTGTGATGTGCGCTGACCACCGGGGGGTGGCGTGGAACTAAGGAAGGTCTCAGCCAGCAGCTGGAAGGCCCCGATCGTCCCTGATCGCCGGCCAGGCCTAGGGACCCTACCCATGCACAAATTTCGTGCACCGGGGCTCTAGTAAATGAAATAATGCATGTCAGTGGCTTCAAACAGAGTAAGTATTAGATCTTCACTGCCTATTGGATAATGTCCCAGACTCTTGTAGTCCTCTATGATCTGGCCCAATTCCATTCCATAATCCCTATGCTAGAGGTCCAAATGCCTTCCAGAGCCTGGCAGGTAAAATGCAAGCTAGGTGAGGCTATGGCAAACCAGGGGCCTTTAGATGGAGCACCTGCTGCTCACTCTGGCAGCCATTAGCTTTGTGGGAGAGAGAGCCCAGTGTGGTGCCCTTTGAAGGGATGCTGGAAACCTGTAATTTACATGAAACCTCCCGGTTATTACATGTGGACAATTAAATCAGAAACCTTAACACTGTAACACCAAGCAACGCCCACCTGCAGGCTGGATATGGTTGTCAGCTTGCACTCCCTGCTTCAGGCCCCTCCCCAGCCTTGCAGCCTGCTTACTCGTCCTTGGACAGACTTGATTCCCTTGGGCATAGTGCTTTTAGATGTGCCAGCCACTCTGCCTGGATTGGCCTTGGTGCTTTCTCTTTTGAACTGGTTCGTTCTTTTAGACTTGGCTCAACCTAACTATTTTCTCTGAACTCACCATTTCCTCCTTTGTGATGCCATAGCTCTTACAGATCATTCTATTCTAGTACTTAAGTCTATATGCAGTGTCTACTCATTCACTTGTTTATTTAGAAAAAAATAATTATGAACCACCAAAATGTGTACCAGCTACAGCTGTAAACTAGAGTCCTGCTTGCCTGGTGCGTGTTTCTGGAGTGATGGTCATGTGTCAGTCCTCCCTCAAGAGGGTGAGTGAGCTCCTTGAGGGCCGGGACCATGTGGTAGTTGTCTGGTTTCCTCAGCAATTAGCCCAGGGAGTCTGATACCCAGTGTATTAGTAGTGTCTTCTTGCTACTGTAACACATTTTCACAAACCTAGCATCTTAAAGCAATACAAACATATTACCTTACAGGTTTGGAAGTTTGGAGCCTGAAATGGTCTCACTGGACTAAAATCACGGGGCTGGCAGGACGGCATTCCTCCTGGAGGCTCTAGGGGAGAAAGAACCTGTTCCCTTGCCTTTCCCAGTTCCCAGTGGCTGCCTGTATTTCTTGGCCGCATCCTCCTCCATCTTCAAAGCAAGAAGTGTAGCACCTTCAAATCTGTCTCTATTTTTTTTTTTTGTCTTCCTCTTCTTGTAATTATCTTGGGATCACCTGGATATTCCAGGATACTCTCCCAATCTCAAGATCATCTGATTAGCAACTTACATAATTCTATCTGTAACATTCATTCCCCCTTGCCATGTCATGTAACATATTCATAAGTTATGGGGATTAGAACATGGGCATTTTGGGGGAGATCATTATTCTGCCTACCACAGCTGGGAAGATGAATGAATGAATGAATGAATGAATAAATGATAAATGAGACTCTCATAGGGTGGGAACTAGTGTTATGCTAGCCACAGGAAGGCAGAAAAGGTAGTAAAAGTCTCAGACCTGATGGAGTTGGTGATCAACTGAACTGCAGCTTGTGGTGGTGGCTGTGATTGGGAGTTTTCCAAACCTCCCTTCTCAGATGAACCGTTCTCGGACTTTTACAATCGTTCTCCGACATCCCGGGGTAAGATCAGACCCCTTGTTTTGTGCTCTTAAGGTACCCTCCTTCCGCGTATTTTATACTTGTGCTGCTAGTTCATCAATGCCTTTCACTAGATTTCACAGGTAATGAGTGGGATAAGACATATCTGTCTTCTTTCTCAGGGTATAGCATTGAACAGAGTGCCTGGCATATGGTCGGTGTTGAAAAGTTTCTGGAGAGAATAAATGAATGAGTAAATGAAGAAGTAGAGAAACATGAAGTGTTTAAACCACCTGTTTCTTGTTCTGCATGGGAGCTTTGTTACCTGGGCCCGGGGACTTTCTGACGTGGCACACAAAGTCGGGAGGGAAAGCATAGGTTCTTTTTCCCCAGAGGCGGGCAAAGAGCCTTGATCAGAGTCTCAACAGAGTTCATGACCAACACTTGGGAAAGGAGCCCTGCTCTAAGCGTGCAGAGCTCAGAGACGAGGGAACCTGGCCACCGTACTGACAAGGAGCACAGTGACTGGAAAGACGCAGGCTTCTCCGATAACGCTAACTGGGCTTTGCATCTTTTTCCATCTCTAGATGAGGAGAGTGTTCTGCCTCTCCTGGCACAGGACTCGAACTCCAAAGCTCGGAGGGGCATTTTAAGAAGAGCCGTCTTTTCTGAGGACCAGAGAAAGGCTCTGGAGAAAATGTTTCAGAAGCAGAAATATATCAGCAAAATAGACCGGAAGAAACTTGCCATCAACTTGGGACTAAAGGAATCACAGGTACTGAGGAGCAGGAAGATGGCCACCGCTCCTGGTTTCTGAGTGAATACGATGGGAGCCATCCATGTGGCAAATACTTGTGGTACCAGGCTGGACCCTGAAGCATTATTGAAATGATTTTCATAAGTTTTTTAGTGGGTGCAAATATAGGTCACAATTCCTATTTGGAAATGGGTCCATTTGCCCAGAGGTCTAGGTTTTTGCCTCGTTAATTCTTCCCAAATAAATGTAAATGCTATGGATGTGGCATTACATCATTAAATTGTTTGCTCTGCTTTTAGAAAAGCAGGCTACTTAATTCCCTACAAAAGCAGGAACCAAGTTTCCTGTCTTTTTCTTAATTTTTAATCCAAAACCAAGGTATGAATGAGTGACTCATAAGTAACTCTTAATAGATTTCATTATTTTGTACTTTGGGTTTATGTCAAGTATAGTTAAGCAATTTCAAATCTGCAACACTTGCAAACCTTTCTTGCACATTGATGTTTTATATAATTTTGGATGAGTCTTTGTGGCCTTTTGGGAGGCACAGAATACTCCATTTAAAGATTGGCCTGCTAATTATAAACAAGACACTAGCATTTACCTTATCACCATATGAAATTAAGCACTATAATCATCCACATTTGATAGGTGAGGAAATGTGGAGAAGTAAACAGAGAGCCAAAGCCCCACCCCAGGCAACCTGACTCTGGAGTTTGCATTCTCCTAGAGCCACTGTGTGCAGCTGTGAAGGGTGTTCACTGCCCAGGGCACTTGGCTAAGGGGGATGGCAGTGACTGGTACTCTGCTTTCCAAGCTGGCTTTCCTGGTGCAGGGCTACATCCACATGAATTTTTTAAATCAGCATAAAGGCATTGAAGAGCTAGCAGAGGCTCTGCTCTGTTCTTCCTTTGATACAGATGACCTGGTTGCTAACTTTGGCTTTTATTTCAACCAGTTATCTTTGGATGAAATTCTCCTTAACCCTGCTTGCTTTCCTCAGGGAAGTGATCTGTTTGTTTCCCCCTCCCCACCCCAACTCTTTCTCGTCCTAGGAAGCAGTATGTGGTGTGGTAGAGGGTCATTGGCCTACATCAGCCAGTCTGTGTTTTGCTCATTGTGTGGTACTGATGAGTTCATTAACCTTAACTAACTGCTCTGTACCTCAGGCTCTAACTTAAAAAACAGGGGGCAATGTAGAAATTCTTTCTATGTCACAGGAATTTTGGGTACATGACAGATAAATCAGTAGCTATGTCTTGATGGTCTACTGTGTGCAAGACATTGTGCTAGGTAAGCAGTAAGAGGGGATATCCTTAAGTACTGATTTAGATACACCACTCCCACCCTCCCCTCTCCCCACCCCCAACTAGGAATTCATACAACCAACTGGGAAAACAAAGCAGAAGCTCCTTAACAATGTAAGACGATAGTGTGGGAGACATCATCTGGTAGGTTAGATATACTGCCAAATAAAGGAGCGCGATCAGTGGTCCTCAGGGTTGTATCTCTAGAGCCTCGTGGTAATTCCCATCTCTGGAAAGGACAGCTGGATGGCTGGTCTGCATACACATGGGGAGTTAGTGATGGAACTGTCTGAGCCTCAGAGGAATTGTGGGGCTTGAGTGAGGAACACAGAGGGGTGAGTAGGCCTGGCCTGCATCCCATTGGTATAGATAAGAAGCTCCAGAATCAGAGGGGAGAAAATGTGCAGGTTTGGGAGGTCAGGGACCTCTGGTTGAATAGGAACTTGAAGTAGGTATCAAAAGTGGCTAGGTTTGCCCTAGCTCAGGGGTCCTCAAACTACGGCCCGAGGGCCACATGCAAATACAAATATTGTATTTGTTCCCGTTTTGTTTTTTTACTTCAAAAAAAGATATGTGCAGTGTACATAGGAATTTGTCCATAGTTTTTTTTAGAACTATAGTCTGGCCCTCCAACGGTCTGAGGGACAGTGAACTGGCCCCCTGTTTAAAAAGTTTGAGGACCCCTGCCCTAGCTGGTTTGGCTCAGTGGCTAGAGCTGCAGACTGAAGGGTCCCAGGTTTGATTCCAGGGCACATGCCAGGGATGCGGGCTCAATCCCCAGTAGGGGGCATGCAGGAGGCAGTCAGTCAATGATTCTCTCTCATCATTGATGTTTCTATCTCTCTGAAATCAATAAAAATATATATTTTAAAAAGTAGCTAGGTTTGATCTGATGGTGCTCTGAGAAGGGGTGAAAATCTCTGACAATACATATGGTCTTTTCAAAAATTGACTCGGAAAAAAGAATGCAGCAAGCACAGCAAAGAACTTTTTATGCGGGATGAGCATAGTCTCTCCATTCAAGAAGACAAACTGTTGTTATCTTCCAGTTCCCATCCATAAGCACATAGTTTTACACAATTGACTACATTGTTTTTAAAATTCAAGTACCTCAGGGATGAATGCTTTTTATTTTACTGAATTTGGTGAACATCTCAGAAGTAATTTAACATTTTGTTACTTGCATATACACCTAATTACACATTTAATACATGGCATTTCTATGGTAAATTCAAACAAAAGAGAAATTGGAAAAGTTAGAAATGAAAACTCATCTACTCCCCTAACAATCCAACTCCTTGGTTACTACTGTCATTTCTAAATGGCTCTTGTTTGAGTTTATTGACATGTCATGTGTTTTGTTTTGTTTTAATATATATTTTTATTGATTTTAGAGAGGAAGGAAGAGGGAGAGAGAGATAGAAACATCAATGATGAGAGAGAATCACTGATCAGCTGCCTCCTGCATGCCCCCCACTGGGGATCAAGCCCGCAACCCAGGCGTGTACCCTTGACCTGACCGGTACCGAACCTGGGACCCGTCGGTCCGCAAGTCGACGCTCTATCCACCGAGCCAAACCAGGCATGACATGTCATGTGTTTAAAAATAAATAAATTTGTATGTGTGTTGTATATGCACTAACATTGCATAATGACTACCACGTGCCCTTATATTTGATGTCGTTATCCTGCCAATGACTCTATGAGACAGCTGCTTTTATTATTGCTAGTTTACAAAGGAAGACGCTGACACCTAGAATGGTGTATGTACATTTTTAAATAAAAAGGGGATGATACTATGCAGATAATTTGACTTTTTCTGAAGGACAATATAAGCCACCTGTATAACCAGCACACAGATCTCACAGTAGAACATTACCTGGGCCAGTAACCTCTGGCCTATCGCCTCCCAGTCACTACCTGTTCCTTCCACCAGCCTAACATCTAACTGCACAGATCAAATTTGCCTGTAAATAGAATCATTCAGCACATATTCTTTGGTTCATGGCTGCTTTTATGTAACGTTATGTTTGTGAGATTCATTTGTGTTGTGGCGTGTAGCAGGAGTTCATTAGTTTTCATTGCTGTGCATCATCACATGATATACCAGTTCATTCATTCTAATGGTGGGCACTTGGATTGTTCCCAGTTTCTGGCCATTATAAAAAGTGCTGCTGACAATGCCTGTTGTTTGGCACTTTGCTTTTTCTCCCCATTCAGTGTCACGGGATGCATCCTGCCAATGTCATACGTACAGGTTTACTTCATTATTTTTTAGTATCTCATACAAACAGTTGCAGAGATATACCATAATTCATTTAGGCATTCTCAGCTTTTGTTTTATTTTATTTATCTTTATTGTTGAAAGTACTACAGATGTTCCCCTCCCCTCCATTAGCCATTCTCAACTTTAAGTTACTTCTAAGTTTCACTATTGCATATCTTCATGCACTTTTAAAATATTTCTGTAAGATAGGGAACTAAGATTGGAATTTATATGTTAAAGTGTATGTACATTTTAAATTGTGATAGATTAAAGAATTCCTTTCCAAATATATTATTGTATCAAAATACTGAATTATATTTGCACTCTTAATAACAGTTTCTTTTTGCAAATCTTCCGCTATTTATAATTTTTAAAACATCATTGCCAACTTCATTGGCAATGACGTTTTAAAAATTTTCCTAATTACCAGAACTTGAGGGTCTTTTAGTCATTTTCCTGGCTATTTTAAATCTTTGAATTGGCCTTTTCATGGCCAAACCATTTTTTTTTCTATCATATTTTCTTTTCACTGATATGTAGCAATTATTCTGGCTGTTAATCAAAATTTTGGAATATTATGGTTAGTAACATTTTTCTGTTATAGCTGTTGCAAAAATCCCTCCAAGTTTGTGGTGTTGTTTTTTGTGGTTAAAATATACATATCATAAAGTTTACCACTTTAACTTTTTTAAATGTACAATTCAGTGGCATTAAGAACATTCACACTGTTGTGCAACTATCACTTACATTCACCTCTAGAACTCTTTTCATCTTGCAAAACTGAAACTCTGTACCCATTAAACAACGTCTCCCCATTCCTCCCACCCCCAAGCCCCTGACAAGCACCATTTTACTTGATGTCTCTATGAATTTGACTACTCTAGGTAAGTTATATGAGTGGAATCATACTATATTTGTCCTTTTATGACTGGCTTATTTCATGTAGCATAATGTCTTCCAGGTTCATTCCTATTCCTATGGTAGTACATATCAGAACTTTCTTATTTTTTTTATACATACAGTAATATTTTATTGTATGTATATACTACATTTTGTTAATCCATTCATCAATGGATACCTGGATTTCTTCCATTTTTGGCTTTTGTGAATAATGCTGCTAAGAACATAGGTATACAGATATCTCTTTGAGTCCATGTTTGTTTTTTAAATTATAAGTGGCATACAATATTAGTTTCAGGTGTACAACATAGTGATTTGACACATATTTTACTATGTGATCACCACAATAAGTCTAGTAACCAGTTGTCACCATGCAAAGTTATTGCAATATTATTGATTATATTCCCTGTGCTGTACATTCAAAATGGCTTATTTACTTTATAGCTGGAAGTTTATACCTCTTATTCCCCTTCACCATCTTCACTTGTTCCCCAATCTTGATCTTTTTTGCTCAGGCACAGTTGGCTACCCTATAGGTAAAGAGGGGGGGTTCATAGAAAAAAGAGACTCCCATAGGGTGGTCGGAAGGTATGGCTCAAATTAGAAACCACAATCATAAGTACTTTTAGGTTAATTACAATCAATTGTTATCTATTGAGCCTAATTATTCCAGTTTGATAAATTCTGGGAGTAATCAAACTTGGAAACTGTGTAATGCCTGAAGTTTATCAAAACATTGTAAAATATATTCTTTTTTTAAAAAATATATTTTATTGATTTTTTACAGAGAGGAAGGGAGAGAGATAAAGAGTTAGAAACATCCATGAGAGAGAAACATCAATCAGCTGCCTCCTGCACACCCCCTACTGGGGATGTGCCCGCAACCAAGGTACATGCCCTTGACCGGAATCAAACCTGGGACCTTTCAGTCCGCAGGCCGACGCTCTATCCACTGAGCCAAACCGGTTTCGGCGTAAAATATATTCTTAATGTAGTCACCAAAAGTTCCTGTTGAGATCCAAATGCTTATGAGTCTGGGCACTAGAACGGGACAGTCGTGTATTCTAGTGTAAGCACCGTGTGACCTGGAACTATTTATCGCTTTGAGCCTCAGTGTTCTTGCATGCTAATGAGGACTTCTTGAAGACATTCTGAGGATCAAATTCCGTAACCCATGTAGAGTGCATGGCCTGACCTGGTACAAAATAAACACTCAAATGCTATTACCAGTAGATAACATTTCCTTTGAATAAATAATTTAGCACAAACTAAATGATTTAAAATATTGGAGAGAGTTAAATCAGTCTTGAAAGATATTGGACTCATATGATGTAACTAATTTACCACAGTTGTCTTGCTTTTTAAGTATATGTGGGGATATTGTACTAAAGTACTTTCTCAGTTATTTTTGGAGAAGCCCAAGTCAAAAGCCACAAGGATTTTGCTAGGCTGGCTGTCATGATAAAATAGTCTGTAGAAGGGCCAATAGGAGAAATGAATAGTGTCAAATGCTGAAGTGAATGAATGTTGAATAAGTGAATATTTATCCAATTATCTTATCAATAGGTGAAAATTTGGTTTCAGAACAGAAGGATGAAGTGGCGGAATTCCAAAGAAAAGGAAGTGCTTTCCAACAGGTGTGCCCAAGAAGTAGGCCTTCAGGAGGACCCCCTCTCACGCTCCGCTCTGGGCTTCCCTTCTCCGTGTCCTTCCCTCTGGGACAGCTCCCAACAGCACTCGAGTCCCAGGTGGAGGGAGAATTTCCCAGAACCTCCAGAAAGACTAATCCAGGAGAGTTCGGGGGCACAGCCCCCAGAAGCCAATTCACTGCGAAGTGCCTTATATTTGTGTTCTGAAGAAGAAGCTGGAGACAAGGGCGTACTTACCGTCTGAATGGAAGCGTTCCTTCACGTTAATTTAAAAGAACACTTAACTCATAATGTTTGGACTCTAAAGCCAACTAGCTTGTGCCTCATCAGTGCCTAAAACCTAACACCGTTGGAGTGATGCAGGAACTAATGCTTTAGGAAACTTTTTCCAGTGTTCTGTTATTTGGGTCTTAAGACTCAGACTTAATTTGTAAGTGGAATAGAATCTCCCAGAAACTATGATGAAAGTGAAAAATGAGAGTGGTAGTTGGCTCAGTCTAAATATGTGTATATATATGATGTGTCTCTATGTGTATATGTATATAAATAGTCATTAAAATACATTAGTAGAAACACCAGTTCCTCTTTAAATACTGCATTGAGCAAATTCATCTCCTTTTACATGAAGAAAAACCAACCATTGACCAAATGTTATTAATTTTTAAAAAAATACTATAAAAGTTGGATTTTAGTCCAAATTTGTATATCATCAGAACATGTTTTTAAAATTTCTCTATTTTCTAGTTTCATTCAGGAACCAGCTGTAAATGAGTTTTAACAACTCAGCATTCCCAATCAAATGAGCCACTGCTGGATACATACATTGAAAGTGTATGTTTAAAATTAATCCAACAAGCAAACTAGAAGAATTTCTGAATGTACCTATTAGTATTCTTAATTTCCAAGTCTCTGGTTTTTATCAGGCCATCAGTGAGGGAGGTACCCATTTAACCAATGATTATCTTCTGAGCTCTTTTCTCTAAGGATGGGCCTTAATCAGGGTTTGCAAAGTAAAATGCCTCTAAGGGCCTGTCAGATTTAAAAAAAAAGGGGGGGGGGTCATGACCCACCTAAAGATATTTGAGTTTTTTAAAATAGTGTGTTGGCCAAACAAACCATCTGTGCCAAGCTATTTGTGACCTCCAGCCAAGACTTCAAGAAGTGTCACAGTTTTTTAAATGTTCCAATTGGACTTCAGAACACAATATTGAAGGAATCTATAGTGATTTCTCTTTGCACTTCTACGTATAGACTTGATTTTTCCACTTAGGTGGTATAGACTATATATATTAGGTTATTTTTATGTATTAACAAACACCATACAGATGTTTTATGTTTCTGAAGTACCCTGAAATAGTATTATTATAAAATTGCCTTTCTGGTAACGATTTGCTTAGTTAATCTAGAATTTTTATTCCAGGTCCAAGAAAAAATTATGTTTTACTTTGAAGGAAATGAGGCAGAGAAAAGGAAATGATATGGTTTGAACTAGGTTATTATTAATCTGCAGACAAAAAACAGTATTAGAAGTTCGTGATGTGGCATCTTGTTAGTGAGAAAGCTGCATAAAGAGAGTGGCTTCTAATTTGCTTATGTTTTTAACTATAGACTTGGAAGGTTTAGAAAAGAGTATTTCACTATGTTGTACACCTGAAACTAATATAATGTTGAATACAGCTGTAATTGAAAAATAAAACAGTACAAGAAAAGAAAAGGTAATATTTCAGAAGATAATAGCTTTAGTCAGCATCAGGAAATTATTTTCTATGAATGGAATTTGAATTGGTGTATGCTAGCTTGTGTCTTTATCACAAGATCTTTTATTTAAAACTCATCTCAGAAGAAGCTTCTCAGTGCCTCTTTGTGGGAAGTAGAGGCAGAGATCTTCTGACAACAAAGTACATTTTTAAATTAAAATGCTCTTCATTTTTAAGTTATTAGTTTCAGGTGTACAACATAGTGATCAGACATTTATATAACTTATGAAGCAATCACCCTGAAAATGATTTATAGTGTGGTTTCTTTTCTTTATTTGATGTTAACCTCATTTACATTTAATGGGTCCTTTCTATGTGCTATGCCTTTAGGGTGGGTTAACTCATGACAATAACCGTATGAGTAGGCACTATTACTATCAGGATTCCTATTGCCCAGACAGAGGCATGAGGCAATGTGGTTAGGGTGATTGCCCATGGTCATGAGGTTAATAATTGAAATTTGGACCCTGAAGTTTCAAATCTTGAAATCTTACCAACTACGTGGGGGTGCATACCACTGTGGGATGCATTGTAAGACGTAACATTTTGAGGATTGTAGTGAAATTTATTTTAAAAATTCAGAACCACATTGTACTTTACAAGCTCTTATTTGGGGAATGGTTTTCCTCCAGTATTCTCTTCTCTATTCATTTTAAAGCATTGGTTCTCAACCTTCCTAATGCTGCTACCCTTTAATACAGTTCCTCATGTTGTGGTGACCCCCAATTTCATTGTTACAAATTGAACATAATTAAAGCATAGTGATTAATCACAAAAACAATATGCAATTATATATGTGCTTTCCGATGGTCTTAGGCGACCCCTGTGAAAGGGTCGTTCGACCCCAAAGGGGTCGCGACTCACAGGTTGAGAACCACTGCTCTATAGAGATTAACTCCATAGGAGCATAAAATGGAAATTTTTTTAAATCACTCATTGCTAATAAGTACTTACCTACAGTCCATTTCTATTGAGAATACTGGGAAAACCAAGTGAGAGAAACTGTCATGGCCATTGATTACCCATGTTTTAGAAGGAGGCTAATGGTACTTAAGTGATCTTCCCCCAGGTTTTACCCCATGCTCAGACTCAGCAGAGGTTTCTTTTTGTAAGATTGGCTTGATATTTGAATATACAAATAAATCTTCTAATTGGTTTCCACTTTGGAATGTGTTAGGTTTAGGAAAAGTACTCTTTGGATGAATATATTAGGCATACCTAGGAAACACAAGCATATACACATGGTACACATACATATGCCCGCTATACCTTTAACTTGGCCTTCACTTACCTGAGTTGTGGGAAAGAACTGCAGAGCTTGATATTCTAATTGACAAGGGTCTCCCTTCTCTCTTACCTTGTGCTCTGCTAGCCCTCCATTCGCCTACAGTGTACTTACAGGTGTATTTTCCTCTCTTATCTACATGCTGTCCTTTTCTCCATGTGATCACACATTAGTGTATTTGTTGCTTCCCAGACAAATACTGCTCTAGTGAGCACCAGGACCATAGAAGCCTGGAGGCAAAAGTATTTAAAAATTTTTTAAGGAAATTGTGAAATGGATCTTAAGCAGATGAGAAGGACAAAATGGTGAGCACCATCCTCTAGCATCTATCAAGGTGACTACTTTATAAAGCTAAATATAAAGGGCTGGAAGTCTGTAAGCAGGTACGGAATGAACACTGGATGTGAAGACAGAGAACACCACAATTACTGATGTTTAAAAGGCAATTCTTTTCTCAGTAATGAGGTGGTTTGAGTGGGGAACCTAGTTATTTAGGCCAATGATTCTTAAACTTTAAAAATCCAGATGCATGAACAGGCCACACCTTCCAATCAATTTTGAGTATGTGCTCAGATTTGGACATATATTTCATACGTACTCTTCAACATCCACACCTCCCTCTCTACCCCTGAGGATCATTATGCATATAATTTTTTTCCACTTTTAAAATATAAAATCACAACTAAATATGCTTGTCCAAACCATACATGTTCCTTCTGGCTTCCCTCATTCCCCATTCTGATGCATCCTTTTATTTTATTTTTAAATTAAATTTATTGGGGATAACATTGGCTAATAACACCATAAAAGTTTTAGGTATACAATTCTATAATACATCATGTGTATGTTGAGGCATCCTTTTAAAATGTACATACTTCCCAGCGTGCTCCACCACTCATCCCTTGATGAGCAGTGATTTTATCAAGGTCTGCTAGCCTTTTTTTTTTAAATTGAATTTATTGGAGTGACATTGGTTAATAACATATAGGTTTCAAGTATACAATTCTATAATACATCATCTGTATCTGCTGGCCTTTTAATGCAACAAAGCTCATTACATTTTGTTCATAAGCTTTGTGTTAGATATTGCCTCTGTAGTCATCTGAAATCCACAAATATATTTTTTTTCTTTCTGGACTTCAACACTTATTGGGCATTGTCCTAGGCTCTCTGTAACCAAATGAGGGACAGCATGGTTCTTCCACTCAAGGAACTTATAATCTAGTCTTCTTGTCAAACAACATTTGAACTGTTCCATGCCATGGGTGACTGGAACCAGTAAATTTGGGGCAAAAAATAATATAACATCCTCCCAAACACCCATTTCTTCATTTACAGTGGTGGTGGTGGTCGTGATAGGGTTAAGAACTCCACTATTCAGAAAAATACAAGCTGCTTTGCATTGATGGAGTTCTATGCTATCCCTCCTCCATTCAGCTACATTGGTCAAAAGAGGAGTCAGGAAGAGTCTGAGGGAAGAATTCAATAACTTTCTTTTGTTCATAGTGCACTTTACTGAAGTAAAGGTAAATAACACAAGTAGGGGGATATAAGGATGATGAGTATTCTTGAATATACAGGGAAATTTTTGCAGAATTAATTTATATATTTTATAAACCATTTCTGAAATAAACAACCTTGTTTAATACCACAATTAACTACCTTAAGGACATAGCACTAGCCCCACAAAGATGGTTGTTAGCTTCCAGGTTTAGTTGGGTTCCATTACATTACTATTTTGGTTATAAAAATTATACATGCCCATTATAAAGAAACACACCTGAAAATAGCTAACAAAGAAAAATGTATGTGTAATTCTGCCACTTGGAGATAATCAATTTAGCGCTATTGTGAAAAATTTTCACTTTTGAATGTATGCATATGTAAATATGTGTGTCTAAACAAATTGTCCTGCTTTTTTAAACTTAACTTTATACAGAGAACATTTTCCCATGCCATTAAAAATTCTTTGAAACTGTTTGTGATGGTTGCATAATATTCCATTGTTACTCCTTCACTTCTTGAGGTGGACCAGGGGATGAGGTCAGGAAGTGGGAGGTCATGGAAAGAATGATCATGGGCTCCTGTACCATAAAATGTACTGAAGAATAACAATCTGATGCTTATTATTTCTTTTAACTCAATAAAATCTCAGCAAACATAAAGCTATGAAAATTGAGGGAACTTGGGCTTATACTCTCAGTGGCGTTGAATATCAAGGAGTACCAAGCATACCAAATGGAGAGCCTCTTCCAAAAGATCACTGTAAAGTTGATCAAAACAGCCCATTAATTCAAAATCCAAGGGAGCGGACACACTTGGATTTCAGTACATAGCCAGCAGCAAACATACTAATGTAGGGCAATATTCTACCTCTCTTTAATTGTGCTTTACAGTCATTTTTAAAAATTTATCTTTATTGTTGACCCCATTCACCAGGCTCCCACTCTCCCACCCCCCCCCATGCCTTCACTGCACTTTAGTCTGTGTCCATGGATGATGCATATCCTATATAATAAAGAACTAATATGCAAATGGTCATCCCGCCCTCACGCCCTTGCGCCCTCATGCCAGAACTGCTCAGACACTCAACACTGGGGAGAGAGGAATGGGGACCAGCCAGGCTGTGGCCCGGGAGAGGGACAAGCCGCTGCCCCATGGTCCCAGGCGCCAGCGGCTGCACTTGTGCCTACGGCCCGGGAGAGGGACAAGCCACCCGCCTCGCAGTCCTGGGCACCTGTGGCTGCAGTCCGGGCGAAGCCACCTGCCCACAGTCCCATGTGGCTGCGGCCGGCCCAGGCAAAGTTGGCCTGGGTCCTGGGTGCCTGTGGCCAGCCAGAGGGAGGGAATCCTGGGTCCTGGGTGCGGGACGAGGCAGAGGCGGTTAGGGGCAATCAGGCCAGCAGGGGAGCAGTTAGGGGCAATCAGGCAGGCAGGCAGAGGGGTTAGGGGTGATCAGGCAGGCAGGCAGGTAAGCAGTTAGGAGCCAGCGGTCCTGGATTTTGAGAGGCAGTTGGATATCCCCCGAGGGGTCCCAGATTGAAGAGGGTGCAGGCCGGGCTGAGGGACCCCCCCACACACACAAATTTCGTGCACCAGGCCTCTAGTATGTATACAAGTTCTTTGATTATTCTCTGCCTGCCCCCTTGATTTAGCTTTTCCAAGTATGTATTCTTGTCCACAACATGTGCAGAAGTCAAGCAAACTAATGGGCATGCCACCATTTGAAGATGGAGATGGTATCGCTGCTTTGTCTTTTTAGTCTAGACTCCCTCAGATGTCACATCTCTATGCATATTCTCTCAAAGTTGCTTGAACAACTTTTGATATTATGGGGAGAGTTTTGGGGATCAGAACATTCCAACATTAAAAGGGAGCCTTTAATGTTATTTAAACACAAAGCAGAACCAACAAGTGCTTGATTCTAATCAAAAGCAGAAAAATCAGCCATGTCAAAGTCTAATAAAACATAGTGATATAATTAATTCATGATATATATCTAATTGTATTAGTATGAGTTTTCATTGTAGTTTCCTAGGGCTGACATAACAGATTACCACAAACTGTGTGGCTGAAAATGACAGAAATGTATTTTTTCATATTTGTGGAGGTCAAAAGTCCAAATTCAAAATATTAGCCCAGCCATGGCCCCTCTGCAGACTTTAAGAAAGTGCCTCTTCCAGGTTTTGGTGGCTCTACAAGTTCTTTGGCTTGGGCTGTGTGACTCCAATCTCTACCTTTGACTTTATATGGTCTTCTTTCCTATGTATCTTGTCACAAATTTCCCTTTGCCTTTCTCTAAGATCACCTGTCATTGGATTTAAAGCTGACTCTAAGTCCAGGATGATCACACTCAAAATCCTTAACTTACTTGCATCTGCAAAGGCCCCTTTTTTCAAATAAGGTCACAATCAGAGGTTCTGGGAGTTAGGATATGCACATACTTTTTTGGGAACTACTATTCAACCCACTATAACTGTATTCTACAATATCATAGCAAAACATCTAGAATAAACAAAAACAAAACACTTCTGTTTGCATTCCCTGTAATGGAATTTGACTTATATTGCTTTGGCTTAAGCTTTTGTACAACTTGCAAGACTATTTGGAGCAGAGGAAGTTTTGTAAAAACTGCCTACTTTTAGGATTTCTTTCTACACCGGGAAAATTTAAGAAAATAAAGGACTAATTTTTTAAAGCTTTCACATGGATTCCAGATGTTGAACATTTAATCCAAGAAGGTGTTTCCTTATTATACAAATGTGGTGCACATCAAGAAATTGGCATTGTTTAATTTATGACTCACACATGAGCCATTGTTTTTTGTGATATAGTTATTTTAACTGATTCATAAACTAAACAATGTCAATATTTTGGACACATACCATATTTGTATAATGAGGAAACACCTTCTTACATCAAATGGTTGACATC